AAAAAACATTAACTATTGTTTACATACATTTAAAAAGGCATTTCAAAGTTTCCATGGTAACAACCATATACCATATACAGTTGTGTTCAAAATAATAGCAGTGTGTTGACAAAAGTGAATAAAGCTCAAAATCCTTCTAATAGCTTTTATTTCCATACACAAAATGCATTGGGAACACTCTATTACATTCCAAATCAACATTCTATTCCAAATCAAAACATGAAGAAAAATAAATCAAATTTGTGTTGTTCCTCTAAATAAATTGAAGAAAAGTGAATATTAGACTGTTTTTAAAAACAAAATAGCAGTGTTTGTATTCTTCTTTACAAACGCAAACATTCACTATATAAACTGAAAAATGTTTGAAGATTTTGCTTTCCTTTGAATCACTTAATTAATATTTAGTTGTATACCCACTGTTTCTGAGAACTGCTGTACATCTGTGTTGCATGGAGTCAACCAACTTCTGGCACCTGTGAACAGGTATTCCAGCCCAGGATAATTGGACTACATTCCACAGTTCTTCTCTATTTCTTGGTTTTGCCTCAGAAACTGCATTTTTGATGTCACCCCACAAGTTTTCTATTGGATTAAGATTTGGCTAACCACTCCATAACATCAATCTTGTTGGTCTGGAACCAAGATGTTGCACATTTACTGGTGTGTTTGGGGTCGTTGTCTTGTGGGAACACCCATTTCAAGGGCATTTCCTCTTCAGCATAAGGCAGCATGACCTCTTCAAGTATTCTGATGTATTCAAACTGATCCATGATCCCTGGTATGCGATAAATAGGCCCAACTCTGTAGTATGAGAAACATCCCCATATCATGATACTTGTGCAACCATGCTTCACTGTCTTCACTGTACTGTGGCTTGAATTCAGTGTTTGGGGGTCATCTGACAAACTGTCTCCGGCCACTAGACCCAAAAAGAACAATCTTACTTTCATCAGTCCACAAAATGTTGCACCATTTCTATTTAGGCCAGTCAATGTGCTCTTTGGCAAATTGTAACCTCTTCAGCACATGTCTTTTTTTCAACAGTGGGACTTTACAGGGGCTTCTTGCAGATAGCTTGGTTTCACATAGACGTCTTCTAATTGTAACAGTACTCACAGGTAACTTTAGACCTTCTTTGATCTTCCTGGAGCTGATTGTTGGCTGAGTCCTTGCCATTGTGGCTATTCTTCTATCCATTTGAATGGTAGTTTTTCGCTTTCTTCCACGTCTTTCAGGTTTTGGTTGCCATTTTAAAGCATTTGCGATCATTTTAGCTGAGCAGCCTATCATTTTCTGCACTTCTTTATATGTTTTCCCCTCTCCAATCAACTTTTTAATCAAGGTACACTGTTCTTCTGGACAATGTCTGGAACAACCCATTTTCCTCAGAATTTCAGAGAGGAATGCACTGTAACCAGCATGTACAACATTTGTTGCCTTCCTTCCTTCCTTCCTTAAATAAGGGCAATAATTGCCACCGGTTTTTCAAAGAATGAATGACCTCACTAATAGAACTCCACACTGCTATTATTTTGAACATGCCCCTTTCAATTAGTGATTCAATTACACAGAATCAGCAGCATGCATGTCATGACTGTTGGGTCTGTTCGATTTCTATTACTATACTACACCTCCTAGTAAATTATTTGCCATATAGAAATATCATTTCTACCAAAAACAGTGATTGATCAGGTTAGTGATGTCTGACTGCTATTATTTTGAACACAACTGTACATGATATAACTATATACAGTGCCTTGAAAAAGTATTCATACCCCTTGAAATTTTCCACATTTTGTCATGTTACAACCAAAAACGTAAATGTATTTTATTGGGATTTTATGTGATAGACCAAAACAAAGTGGCACGTAATTGTGAAGTAGAAGGAAAATGATAAATGGTTTACAAATACATATCTGAAAAGTGTGGCTTGCATTTATATTCAGCCCCCCTGAGTCAATACTTTGTAGAACCAGCTTTTGCTGCAATTACAGCTGCAATTCCTTTTTGGGATGTCTCTACCAGTTTTGCACATCTAGAGAGTGAAATTTTTTCCCATTCTTCTTTGCAAAATAGCTCAAGCTCTGTCAGATTGGGTGGAGAGCGTCTGTGAACAGCAATTTTCAAGTCTTGGCACAGATTCTCAATTGGATTTAGGTCTGAACTTTGGTTGGGCCATTCTAACACATGAATATGCTTTGATCTAAACCAATCCATTGCAGCTCTGGCTGTATGTTTAGGGTCTTTGTCCTGCTGGAAGGTGAAACTCTGCTCCAGTCTCAAGTCTTTTGCAGACTCTAAAAGGTTTTCTTCTAAGATTTCCCTGTATTTGGGTCCATCCATCTTCCCATCAGCTCTGACCAGCTTCTCTGTCCCTGCTGAAGAAAAGAATCCCCACAATATGATGCTGCCACAACCATGTTTCACAGTGGGGGGATGGTGTGTTCAGGGTGATGTGCAGTGTTTGTTTTCCACCACACATAGCATTTTGCTTTTAGGCAAAAAAGTTCCATTTTGGTCTCATCTGACAAGAGCTCCTTCTTGCACATGTTTGCTGTGTCCCCCTCATGGCTTCTAGCAAACTGCAAACGGGACTTCTTATGGCTTTCTTTCAACAATGGCTTCCTTCCTGCCACTATTCCATAAAGGCCAGATTTATGGAGTGCATGACTAATAGTTGTCCTGAGAACAGATTCTCTTACCTGAGCTGTGGATCTCTGCAGCTCCTCCAGAGTTACCATGGAACTCTTGGCTACTTCTCCGATTAATGTTTTTTTTGCCCCCCTGTCAGTTTAGGTGGACAGCCATGTCTTGGTAGGTTTTCAGTTGTGCCATACTCTTTCCATTTTCAGATGATGGATTGAACAATACTCTGTGAGATGTGAAAAGCTTGGGATATTTTTTTATAACCTAACCCTGCTTTAAACTTCTCCATAACTTTATCCCTGACCTGTCTGGTGTGTTCCTTGGCCTTCATGATGCTGTTTGTTCACTAATGTTCTCTAACAAACCTCTGAGGGCTTCACGGAACAGCTGTATTTATATTGAGATTAAATTAGGTGACTTCTGCAGGCAATTGGTTCCATTAGATTTTAGTTAGGGGTATTAGAGTAAAAAGGGCTGAATACTAATGCACGCAACACTTTTCAGATATTTATTCCTAAAAAATTTTTAAAACCATTTAGCATTTTTTTTCCTCTTCACAATTATGTGCCACTTTGTGTTGGTCTATCACACAAAATCCCCAAAAAATACATTTATGTTTTTGGTTGTAACATGACAAAAATTTCAAGGGGTATAAATACTTTTTCAAGGCACTGGAACATATCTTTCTCCTAGATAGAATCAGGTCTATGCGTTTTGTGGCTGCCAGCCACTTGTTCAGGACCTAGCACTTTACATCAGTCCATAATCACATTGTTAAGTATGTCACCAAAATTTTATACTATAGCTGCAAAGGATCATATATAGATTATCAGTAGACTCATCATTTATAATTCTATCCAGTGTAATCCCAAGATGTTATTTGTTAATAAAACGTACCTAATTTATAATTACTATACTTAATACTCACAAAATGTTGTCAGCAAAAACATGCACATGAGGCCTATCCCTGAGTAATTTACTGCATGACATGTTGTGTACTCCTGTCTCACTTACTACATGGCCACGGCTTCTACAGCCCTATTCAGAGAAAAGTGCCATCAGTAAGAGGGATAAAAACACAAAAACATACCGCAGAGAGTGGACAGAATTTGCAAGAAGAGAACAGCCTGGCAATATGGCCCCCGCCAGCAGCTGCAAACCCTCCCTGCTGCTGTCAAACTTCTCCCTGTGGGTCCCAACGCCACCTACCAAACACCCCCACTCCTCCCAATGAGCTGAGATTTTTGTAGTCCCTTGGGAGGAAGTGGCTCTTTGCTGGGCTTTATTACACTTCGCAATCAAGCGCAATGTAATGCTAATGGTTGAGATTTAGGCATATTGAATACATTTTATTATCTCCATGCTAACCGAGGAAGGGAGGAAGTAGCTTTACAAGCAGAGATAAGGAAGGTATAAAATGTATGTATTTCTTTGCAAACAGATAGCTCAAAAATAAACTAATGTATTAATAAATCATTTAAAAAAAAATGACAAAACTTGATTAACAAATAATATATAGGTTTTTTATAAACAAAGTTAAGAACGTCTGAGAATAAAGCTTATTGTCATTCTATCTGCTGTGATTCATTTTTTTGTATATTAAAATGAATGGTGGCTTATTGGACACAGTTGGGGGAATTAAAATATTAAAGTCTTTTTTTTATTAAAAAAACAAAAAAAAAAGTTATACATACCTGCTTTGTGGAAGAATATTGCACAGTGGTGGCTTACCTCCCTTTTTTTTGGTCCCCCTCTGGTGCTCTCCACTCCTCTTCTTCTTTGAGTGCCCCCTCAGCAAGCTGAGTTCTATGTGAGCACCTAAGCAGGCACGCTCCAGAACTGGGATATGTGTGTCCTTAGACACACACAGCGCTGCTCAGATACTCCCACTGCTCCTTCCTCACAGGATTTGACTGACGGTAGCAGAAGCCAATGGCTCTCAGAGTGTCCAGTGAGAAGAGGAAGTGAGGAGAGTGAGGAGACATCCGGGCACAGGGCTGGATCAAGAGAGGACTCAGGTAAGTGTTTAGGGATGGGGGGGGGTGTGGGGGGGCAGTGGTGTACTTTGGTTTTGTGATGCTCTAGGCAGGACGAAACTCGGGCGCCCCCCATCTAAAATTGTCCCACCTCTTCCTGTTTAAGATCCACCCCTTCATCTGTAAACTCCACCTCTTCCTATTTAGGCTCAAGCTCATGAATTGGTCAGAAACTGCGAACCTAGTACAGGAGATATTTGTAGATTGCAGACATAGTACAGGAGATGGTCAGAGATTGCAGAAATAGTACAGGAGATGGTCAGCGACTGCAGACATAATACAGGATATGGTTTAGAAACTGCAGACCTGCTACAGGAGATGGCCAGAGATTGCAGACATAGTACAGGAAATGGTCAGAGACTGCAGACCTGCTACAGGAGATAGTCAGAGACTACAGGCATACTACAGGAGATGGTCAGAGAATGCGGACATAGTACAGGAGACAGTCAGACACTGCAGACATAACACAGGAGAGGGTCAGAGGCTGCAGACATGCTATAGGAGATGGTCAGAGACTGCGGAGATAGTACAGGAGATGGTTAGAGGCTGCAGACATGCTACATGAGAAGGTCAGAGACTGCGGACATAGTTCAGGAGACAGTCAGAGATGCGGACATACTACAGGAGATGGTCAGAAACTGCGGACATACTACAGGAGATGGTCAGAGACTGCAGATAGGATACAGGAGCCTGTGGACAGGATACAGGAGAAGGTCAGAAGCTGTGGACAGGATACAAGAGCCTGCGAACAGGAAACAGGAGCATGCACACAAGATACAGGAGACTGCACACAGGATACAGGAGATGGTCAGCCGAATCCTTTCGAGCCCGTCCAAACACTGCCAAGCCTTGCTTCCACTGCTTCCCCCACCCGAGCCCTGCCAAGCCCATTCACCCTGCCTGATCCCTGCCAAGCCTTCCCTAGCCCGGCCAGCCCTCCCTTTTGCCTGAGCCCTGGTCCTTTCTGCCTGGGGGGGGCCCTGCAAAATGCTGCCTTGTTTGCCTTGCGGCAGATACACCCCTGGGAGTGGGAGCACCTTTTGGAAGGTTTTTTTTTTTATCTTAATGCAGAAAATATATTAAGGTAAAAACAAATTTGTGTTTAGAACCATTTTAATAAAAAGTGTCTTAGTAACTTTTTGGGGTTACTAAAACTAGACAGTGAAAAACCTGGAGCAGTTCTGCACAGAAACCAATCAGCTTTAGGTTTTATTGCCAAAGCTTAACTGAATGAGCGGAAATGCGGAAGTTAGAAGCTGATTGGCACCATGCGCAGCTGCACCAGATTTTGAGTGTTTCAGTTTTAGTAAATCTCCCCCTTTGTCTCAACTGGTGCGCAACCGATCAGCTTTAACATTTTAATTTTCTCAGCTGATTAGTTGCTATGGGCAACTGCACCAGTTGAGATAGAATTTGCCTCAGACACTTTTTCTATTAATTCATAGAAGGATGAATTTCGCAAGTGCAAAGAGTCCAAAAGGTATACCTCTCTATAGTGAATGGATAATTTGAGGTTGGAGACAACTCTTCAAACATTCCTTGAAATTCAGACAGTTTCAACCCTGTACACAAACTGATTAAAGAGCAGCTCCAGGCAACAAGTGAAATCAGTCAAGTGGTGAATTGCTAAAGTGATCAGGTAAACACTACAGCTGTTTTAAACAATAGGGCTTGTTCACACTGGTGGTGAAATCCTGCATTTTACAACATAGGCAAACTGCTGAGATAAGTTCCATAAGATAATGTTTCATGTTCCACCTGTTTTTAGGGTAGAACATGTAACATGTTCCCGATCCTACAACCGCTTCCCGCTAGTTCTCTGTACTAGCTGTCAGTTTTCAAAAACAGCACAGCCGTGCGGGGCTCCGCGCAGACGGTCACGTCATTCATTCATTCATTTACAGCGCTGTTGTAGTTCATTGAGTCTTCTTGTCAGAAGTATCAGTTTGCCTGTATGGGATGCACAAGCAAGAAGATACATTAACAGTCTGCAGGAGACCTGCATGGCACCTGCGGTCTGCTGATCGCTGATGCAATGCTTTACACAGGCTCCTAACACAAAAAATAATAAATGCACATTTTTTTACCTCCAAAAAAAGCTGTGCATTTATTTTTTTTGTGGAAAGGTGAACTTATTCTTTAAACACTGCTTCACAATGGAGCACTGTCTCACACATGTACAGTTGCAAAAACAAATTGTGCTGAATTTTTGCATACACTGACCTGCTGGTCCCATTCAAGTTAGATGAACAGGTCCCTTTAAAAATGCAGTACAGTGCATTTGAAACTGCATGTTGCTATATAAAGTATCAATGTTTCCAGATGTTCCATTCAGTTTATAGCAATCTGATTTAGATCATGCATTTTGTAGATTCCAGGAAGTCCTCATAAGCTGACTGTGCTGTTGATTTAGATGTCTTCATCCAGTCCATTGCCACACTCAGAAGCACTGTGCCAGGCCAAACCACCAGAGTGGCTATTTCTTCTGGCTGAAGTATCGAATGAAGGGGATAGCAGTTTAAATATCCATTGATCAGCACATTACCACGTCACACATAACATCATATTGTCTGCCTGTCCTACCTATATTGCTCCTTATGTAGTTTTTCTTTTGGGTCCCCCTAAGCTTTACACAGCCAAGAAACATGCATTTTCCACACTTTCATCCACAGTCAGTAAATAGTCCATGAGCTTGTTTTTTGTTGTTTTATTAGGGGTTAACAGCTTGGATGGGGTCTAGGGGTATATAGAAACCAATGCCCAATGGAACTGAAACAACTTTGAAGGACAATTTTTTAAGCACAAAAAGGCAAAAATCCAGCAAAAAGCACAAAAGACCAGATCCTAGGCTCTCTACTCCTTCAGGAATGACTCTTACCTTCTGAAGAATCGACACACAGTCCTTTCCAAGGACCACTTGGTCCCCTTAAATTAACCTACTTAGACCCCAGATGGAAATCTCCTCATCCACCCGACTGTCTTGAAAGTATCCCAGGGCAAAGGATTCTGAGACACACAAATAATGTAGTCCCAAGGAGAAATAGTTGTTCCTGTTTTGCTCCTTTCAGTCACCTCCAGCACCCATGTGCTTTTGTTCTTGTCCACCTGTAGTGCCTCCCTACACTGCTCCCCTAATTATTCTCCAGTGCCCCCATGTCCACCCTTCCAGTACTACCATACTTCTTTTTAGCGCCTGCAAGCACCCTTAGCCATACAATATCTCTTTCTCCCTCTTACTTTCTTTTGCAGTTCTCCTTCCCATCCAATGTCCTGCCAGGGAGTAGAAAGCATGCCAACCAAAATCAAAGATCATAGATCCCACTTGGGGGTCAGTGGAGGCTTAAAGGGACTATATAAATCAATGATCAATGTCAGGGCTTCCCAAGACAGAAGTAAATGTCATCATGACCTTCAACTTAAATAAGTGCCATCTGCGGGTAAATTAGAGAATATTATTAGATATAGCCAACTCTAACCAAAACATTTGCTTTTTAATGTAAAACATTGGCTTAAGTTGGGATTTAATGAAATAAATTATTCAACATTTGTTGTACACTATACTACAGTGAATTGTTTGTGTTTTATTGTGGGTGCCAGTTTTTTTCCCCAGGAGTATGTATAGCAGTTGTATACAGCAGTTGTCTAATTGTAAATATAGGATTGCTTTTTTTTTTTTTTTTTTGCAAACTGCTGTGCTTGATATTTAGTTTTGTTCTCTTTTAGGTAGTGTGTCATATTGTTACTATACTAAATATGATGGTTTTTTTTACATTGCAGCTAGTGTGCTGGTACTTATTCTTTATTGGTAAAATTTAATTTTAAAATTTTGCAACTACTGTATTCCTTGACCAATGACTTTGTGTGACACTGTTTATACCCCCGGCAAGTGTCAACCTCTATTACTATACCCATTACTATATCCCCTTATGCTAATTTTATGTGAATACGTTGTAGAGATCAGCTCATTTTTCCTGTTTTGCTTACTTAGTCTGATTCAGACATTATAGTTTCTATTTGTTCATTTTTGTCATATAATGTACAGTACATGTTGTAGTTATTGGCGATAGCTGGAGAATAAAACATCTCAAATATGCTTCAGTATGTTTAAGAGGGTGAGAGCAAATGTGGATAGCAATGGGCATACAATTGTTACAGAAGGTGAAAAATCTTACACTCCACTAGGGCATAGAGAATCAACATAGAAGGTGGAAGAGTTTACAATATGTTAGATTGAAAGGCTGGGTATACATGGGATGAAAAATATCCAAAAACAGTTGGTTCAGCAGGAACTGGCCGACTTTTGGCCCGTGTTTACAGCTCCCTGTCCGACAGAAGTTGCTCTCACAATTGGTTTCTGACGGTCTCACAGCCAGCTTCTGTCGAACGAGCATGCTGGAGAACCAGCATCTGATCAGCACTGGCAGCCATTGGCAGTCCCCCCAGTCAGTACACAATAGCTTAGCAGGGGAGATCACCACACTAACATCGCATAGTTGGTACGGTGACCTCTCATTTTTTTTTGTTCAGCCTGCTGGGTTGAACGAAAAAAACTTTATGTGTATACCCAGGGAGGGATTCATATTTTGGGAGAACTTACAGTTTATTAGAGTATATAGGAATTAAACAGACAAGAGAAAAAACTTACGTTCAAAGTATAACAGTATATTACAGAAGGTATAATAATTTACAGTCCACCAAAATATTTGTCCTGTATTATTTGAACATGTGCACACATGTATGCTCAGGAAAGGTGACCTGGGATGGAAAAGCTGTTAATTGCCTGGGGTTAGGGAGTTGCTACTTCTGGAGCATTACTCCTTTTACTAAAGGCACTCCTTCTAGGCACCTGCTGGCACCATCTGCTGGCTGAAATAGACAATGTTTGCATGGACCTGTGTTCAGACACAGTCATCAAAGTGACATTAAACTCTGTTTTGAAAAAATCTATTCAAGTATGTATTCTTATCTCAAAAGAAGTACCTTCTATTGCCCTCAACACCTCCAAATTCCTCTTTTTTGCTGCTGTGATCTTACTTTCTGTTAGAGGTTGACTACATTTGTTTTCCACGGTCCCAAACTATGTAGAAACATAGCCACCCCCACTTGCTCGCTTTTAAGATAAACTAGGGACTAACATCGGTTGTAGTCAAGTTAATGGAATAACTCCTGAAAAAAAAAGAAATCACTGATCACTTAAAAACACATAACATGCTGGATCCAAAGTAGCATGGCTTTACTGAGGGCAGATCATGTCAGACTAATCTGATTGTTTTTTTTTTTACTATATTACCAATGTTTTGGACCTGGGTGGTGCTGTGGACATAACATATCTTCATCTCAGCAATGCATTTGATACAGTTCCACATAATGATCTAATACAAAAGTTGTACAAGCTAGGACTTATCCCTTGGGTGGTTCAGTGGATATGCAGCTGACTAAAGGATACCAGAGTGTGGTTGTAAATGGGGTTCACTCGGAACAGAGACCAGCCACTAGTAGTGTACCACAAGGCTCTGTACTAGATCCTGTTCTATTTAATCTATATGTAAGTGATATAACTAAAGGTTTGCTGGGTAAGGTATTTTTTTTTTATGATGACAGAAAGGTGTGTAATAGGATTGATATCTGTGGAGGTGTCTGTAAGATGGAACATGATTTGACACTGCTGGAAGATTGGTAAAAAAAAAAGTGGAAATTGCAGTTCAATGTTGCACCTAGGGAAAAAGAATCCCTTGGGAGAGTACAACATTGGGGGTACAGTGTTCGCCAATATTTCAAAGGAAAAGGACTTGGGGGTGCTT